TGACTGACAGTTGAGAGGCGGGACCAAAGAGCCGAAGCTCAATCCTCCGCAAGCACAACTTGGTGAGTACAACTAGGTAAGTACACCTCTCCGAGGTGAACAGCAGCATGAGATGAAAAACTTTACTCAATTGTTTCTGTTACTGGTCGCATGCGCGCGTACGCGCCCGGGTATGGGGGGATACATATACAAAATTATTTTTTTTCGCTGTGTTGAATGTTCACAAGGTATCTTGAACTATTATTAAAACGTGGGAGACGCGTAACTCAAGACCGTGATGCTGGACAACCGTCCTCCCCCCCCACCGTCCTTTCATTTCCGGTTTAGCGAGTAACGAGACCCGAGCCAGCCGGACCTAAACATACTAACGAGCGATTCATCAATGGCGTAAACTATGTGTATCAACATGTTATTGTTTCAGAAGCAAACCCAAATAACTATACTACATTCACGAAGATTTCAATGCTCATAGATATAAGAAGTGATCCTGGAACACCTTGCCTCGATAAGGTGTTACAACTGTACATGTGTAAGGTAATGAGATTTGTGTCATGTTACTTAGTGTCGTGTGAACACTTGAGAACATTTTTATGCACTTATAATTGGCCAGGAAGGCGTTGTGGATCTTGAGATTAAGTAATGGTTCAAGTTGGTGGGAACCTTCACTCTGTCATCGTGTACCTTGTCCTTATACTCCCTTCCCAGTGCTGGGTACGCCTACTGGCTTAGTGCCTTCTCCCTTTAGAGATGGGAGACAAGAGAGGCGGAGATGGGAGACAAGAGAGGCGGAGATGGGAGACAAGAGAGGCGGAGATGAGAGACGAGAGGCGGAGATGGGAGACAAGAAAGGCGGAGATGAGAGACAAGAGAGGCGGAGATGAGAGACAAGGGGCGGAGATGAGAGAGAAGGGAGGCGGAGATGAGAGACAAGAGAGGCGGAGATGAGAGACAAGAGAGGCGGAGATGAGAGACAAGGGGCGGAGATGAGAGACAAGGGGCGGAGATGAGAGAGAAGGGAGGCGGAGATGAGAGACAAGAGAGGCGGAGATGAGAGACAAGAGAGGCGGAGATGAGAGACAAGGGGCGGAGATGAGAGACAAGGGGCGGAGATGAGAGACAAGGGGCGGAGATGAGAGACAAGGGGCGGAGATGAGAGACAAGGGAGGCGGAGATGAGAGACAAGGGGCGGAGATGAGAGACAAGAGAGGCGGAGATGAGAGACAAGAGAGGCGGAGATGAGAGACAAGAGAGGCGGAGATGAGAGACAAGAGAGGCGGAGATGAGAGACAAGGGGCGGAGATGAGAGACAAGGGGCGGAGATGAGAGAGAAGGGAGGCGGAGATGAGAGACAAGGGGCGGAGATGAGAGACAAGAGAGGCGGAGATGAGAGACAAGAGAGGCGGAGATGAGAGACAAGGTGGAGATGAGAGACAAGAGAGGCGGAGATGAGAGACAAGAGAGGCGGAGATGAGAGACAAGGTGGAGATGAGAGACAAGAGAGGCGGAGATGAGAGACAAGAGAGGCGGAGATGAGAGACAAGGTGGAGATGAGAGACAAGAGAGGCGGAGATGAGAGACAAGAGAGGCGGAGATGAGAGACAAGGTGGAGATGAGAGACAAGAGAGGCGGAGATGAGAGGACCTTGGTCATCACAATGATCAACTCCCCGTGGTACTGTCATGTAAAGTGCCATGAACCACCTGGCAGACATCAAACTTAAAAATATAATTTTCTCCCTTAATGGGTTTATGAAATCCAGCAGAGATCACTGAGTAAGGTAAAAGAGAAGAGAGTCAAATCGGAGGCAATAGGGCTGTGTGACCCAAGAGGACCACAGGAACATCGTTGTGGAATAGTGAACACTCTTGTGTCATAGTCTTTGACGAGAGGGCCTTCACAGGTCACAATTGCCCTACTGATCGTTACTGAATACAATTCTCCTTGCCACGCAAAGACAGCATTCCAATCTGTGGGTGCTTGGAGGTAATTACCCAAAACCAACAATTGAGATAGAAATGAACACGATCAATATTAAAGTTACCCAAAAATGATTAAATCACTTAAGCAAGATAGAGGTCAAACGCCAAACAAGTAAACTACCGACTACATAAGACATCTTAAAATAACTAAACAGAAATGAAACTACTGGTTCATTTCTTCCGATTCCAGAGATAAATTTCTCCGGAATCGGACCGAGAAAAACTGGAAATTATCGTAGCTCATTTCCTCAGCTTTGACACACTAAGTGAATCAGACAAGGTTAGAAAATATTGAATGCCTTCATGTATCTAATTAAGGATTAACTCCAGGAGACTAACAGTACCAGAGCCGAGAGTAATGGATTCATGTTGTATCTCTGCCTTAAGCAGACCATGAGACACTACTCATCATCTATACACGACTTGATAATGGTCCAAGAAGGACTAAAGTAACGTCCTTTCTTCGTTTTCTGTTGTGCGGTTAAGTCCTCACTCTCCCCTCTAAGACCTCGCATCACAGGAAGAGAAGATACAGGGATACATGGTCACGACATTCAAAATACACATGGAAATTTATTGTTAAACGACCTATGTGGTTTTAATAGTGATGCGGCATAGCAAATCAGGCATTTTGTGATGTGAGGCATTAAATCTGGAACAGAACCAGACCACATCATGGCCACGACAGCCATCTTGAACAATGGCGGCCAAGTAATGGATGCGTGTGTAACTAGTCAAGAAATTGGTCTGTGTGTAGTTAACCGAACACTGCCAGATTAAAAATGCCTAAATTATATATACTTATTTTACTTTACAAAATGCACACAGGTTGAGATATGAAACTGGATGTTGCCATACACTGGTTAACAACAAAATCATGAACAATAAGTCTGAATCAAACTGATGCTAATATGATACCATGTCTCCCGGAATACCAGCACCCCAGACGTGAACAGTTTACCTCACACACAGTATCGCTTCAGATGGTCACTAGCATTCTGCGCCACGTCCGTCCAGTGTGGGACCAGTGCCACAGGTGAGCAAAGATTAAGCAAGAAAGAGAAGGGCGGGCAGACTGCATTTTCTTGGACTGTCGGAGAGTCTTTGACACAGTACCCCCATAAGAGTCTGGTGCATAAGTTGAACAAACAGGCTTTCTAAACAGGCTGAAGTTCAGATTCAGAACAGACCTGGGTAAATACTGGCTTAGGATCATAATAAAATAGGCTTAGGATCTTAGGAAATAAATGATCAAACAGGCTGTGATTCATTCTTCTTGCTGCGAGCAGCCGCGTCCAACAGCCTGGTTGACCAGTCTAGCAACGAGGAGGCCTGGTCGACGACCGGGCCGCGGGGACGCTAAGACCCGAAAACACCTCAAGGTAAGGTAGGCAACAGGGTTGTTGATTTATGTTATAAATTACTGGGTAACCTAATAAAGGTAAGATCGCTGGATCGTTTTAAGCGTAGTTTAGACAAATACATAAAGGAGTTTGCGTGAATATAGGCAGCAGCTGCCTCGTATGGGCCTATAGGTCTTCTACAGTTTCATGTACTCTGATGTTTCGGTATAGTGGCTGACGGTATAGTGGCTGACGGTATAGTGGCTGACGGTATAGTGGCTGACGGTATAGTGGCTGACGGTATAGTGGCTGACTGTATACTCTTCACTTACTCTCCTGACAATCCTATGAAGACGTTGCCATGATCAACCTCGTCAAGATGGATGCTGACCAGGGAGAATATAGCACAAAGAAATTACTTCTTTGCAGTCGCTGCACTGCGGTTATAATGTTGCAGACACCTGCAGCTGTGACAATGCTGCCACGCGTCTTTGGAGAGCACAACACCTGTAGTGTGGCTGTACACTAACTCCACCTTAGTGACTCCCAAGATGACCAATGCCGGAGTGATGAACGCTGCAGACCCAACCCGCCAAACACACCGAAACTACGACGTTGGTACATCGTTCGAACAAGTTTTAACACCTAACCAGTTATACCAACCAATATAGCAAGTTGTAACAACGTTCTAATACGTCATAAACACGTTAAGCCAAGATGTAACAACTGTATTACAAGTTGTAACAAGCTGAAAATAGAGACAGTTTCGGTTTGTGTTTCCAGGGAAGAGTCCGCTTGGACTTGACACAGATGAGCTTCATCAGTTGGGGAAGGGTAAGTTCTGTCGACGTGGAGTCTGTCACCTGTCTCTTGACACTGGCCTCGCCTGTCACCACCACGTGGTGGCTCAGACTCTCAGAAGAATACAGACAAAATACAACACACTATATTCATCACATCCAGCACCGTCATAATGCTCAATATTAAGAAACAAATGTTAAAACCATATTCTCAAAAAAATTTTAAGAACAGATTGCCTAAGTATATGGGTGAGAGGGGGGGGGGCGGAGTATTTAAACTGAGCTTGTGTAATGACTCAACTACTGTGGCTGGACGGTAGAGCGACGTTCACATTTCATGCAGGTCGGCGTTCAATCCCTCGACCGTCCAAGTGGTTGGGCCAGCCCGTCCTCCTAATGTTTCTCAAAGTCAAGAACAAGGTCCATTTAAAGTGCCCTTACTCTAACCTACCAGAGGACCCAAAACAGAAAACGGGACAGTAAGTCACGTTCGCGAGCCGCTTCCATTTTCTAGTACAACAATTTTTGGCCGTATGTAACGCATACGATCGAAATGCGACGCACTTTGTAGGAGGACAAGTTGGTTAGGCACCATTCCTTCCCTCCGTCCGATCCCAAATCCTGGTCCTTTCCAAGTGCTATATAGTCGTAATGGCTTGGCGCTTTCTCCTGATAGCTCCCTACCCTTCCCTTGCTGAGGTGTTCCGTATTTCCTATGTTGTTGTTGTTCTTGTTGTTGTTCTTGTTAATCACGAGGCAACGGACCCGAGGTCAACATACTGTACGATGGAGCACTGGACATAACTGTTCAAACTGCACTGAGGTGCCGATCAGGACGTGATTAACGAGGCGACTATTACCGTAGCCCCGTTATAATCATGCCGGTGAACGTTACAATCATGCCGGTGAACGTTACAATCATGCCGGTGAACGTTACAATCATGCCAGCGAACATTGCAATCATGCCGGCGAACGTTACAATCCTGCCGGTGAACGTCACAATCCTGCCAGTGAACGTCACAATCCTGCCAGTGAACGTCACAATCCTGCCAGTGAACGTCACAATCCTGCCAGTGAACGTCACAATCCTGCCAGTGAACGTCACAATCCTGCCAGTGAACGTCACAATCCTGCCAGTGAACGTCACAATCATGCCAGTGAACGTCACAATCATGCCAGTGAACACTACAATCATGCCAGTGAACACTACAATCATGCCAGTGAACACTACAATCATGCCAGTGAACACTACAATCATGCCAGTGAACACTACAATCATGCCAGTGAACACTACAATCATGCCAGTGAACACTACAATCATGCCAGTGAACACTACAATCATGCCAGTGAACACTACAATCATGCCAGTGAACACTACAATCATGCCAGTGATCACTACAATCATGCCAGTGATCACTACAATCATGCCAGTGAACACTACAATCATGCCAGTGAACACTACAATCATGCCAGTGAACACAACAATCATGCCAGTGAACACTATAATCATGACAATGAACACTACAATCATGCCAGTGAACATTAAGATCTTGCCAGTGAACATTACAATCATCACAGAGACCAATCTCCGCGCAGAACTAGACCACAGAGACCAATCTCCGAGCGGGAATCAATGCACACATTTTGAATTGCTTTGATGATACAAGCACTGAGGTGGATGACAGTGGACGGTCCGGGCTGTCAGCCACACTCATCACTAGTGCGTCTCACTTCACCTGGAACTCGAGCCGAGAACCCAACAAGTCCAACGGCATTAATACTAAGAAAAAGTCCAATTTACAAAGTGGTGGAGAAAAGAACAACACACTAATAAGACACTGTTGATAAACTCCGTTGAGAGGTAAACCAGGTTGAAGTAAACCAGGTTATGAGGCAAACTAAATAGGTAAACAAGGATTGGAATAGCACGAGCAGGAAGGGGATTGGGTTGAGCACAAAACCCTATGGCCTAAAAGGGACTACTGCTCATCCCTAAAGGGTAACCACTTAGTCTACCATTCCTTTGGTCAGATACAAGACCAACACGCTGGCTGAACAACCGTCAAGCAGGGAGCCTCGATAGAGACAGGTTCCGCGGTGGCATTGATCCCCGAAATCTCCTCACAGTACGCACAGGTGAGGACCACCAAACACTGCTCACCCGTGTCTTAACCTCAACACAGATTTGATGTAACATCCCGCCATTATCACCGTGAGAGAGAGGTCCTACGGTCCGTGTATCCTGACCGTCGGTGTGATTGGGTCCGACTTGACCAGGAAGGAACCTGACCGAGCGGAAACATACAACCCTCCCCCCCCCCTTCCATTGGAAATAAAATCTCTATTGTCTTTTTTCTTCTTATTGATAACGTCGGTTTAATGACTGGTCAGGTAGGGATTTCCGGCGGGTAAGGTGGAGGAGACGGGAGGGGGAAAGGCAGGGAGAGACAGGGGGGGGGGAGGGTGGAAAAGGTAGGGAGAGAGAGGGGAGGAGGGGGTTGAGGGGTTGGAAGACTTGAAGAGGGGCACCCACCACTACCCCACAGGGATCAAAGGGCCGTCCGCCGCTCTTATCTGTAATGAAGCAGTTGGACAATAAGCGGTCTTCATTTATTGCAAAGAGGCTCCGTTTAGAGTGAAGTGGATCTGTCAGCAACTAAGACCCCCTCTGTTTACAAGGCAAGGAAGTTGCCTCTCAAGCCCTCACTAACCAGCCCGTCGTATATCACTAAGAGACATACCTACAATAGTCGTTACTTTTATAATGATATTTCATGCAATAAAGTTATCGTACGTTATCGCCTTTCGGTTCAAGTGACTTGTAATACAAAAAGATTTTACAAAACCAAAAATAGTGTCTACAGTGATCGAACTTTTGTTGCCGAGTTAAATACCTAGGAGCGTTGTTCCTACTGAACGCAAGTAACACGGGACACAAGTCACGCAGGAACACAAGTCACGCAGGAACACAAGTAACGCAGGAACACAAGTAACGCAGGAACACAAGTCACGCAGGAACACAAGTCACGCAGGAACACAAGTCACGCAGGAACACAAGTCACGCAGGAACACAAGTAACGCAGGAACACAAGTAACGCAGGAACACAAGTCACGCAGGAACACAAGTCACGCAGGAACACAAGTCACGCAGGAACACAAGTCACGCAGGAACACAAGTCACGCAGGAACACAAGTCACGCAGGAACACAAGTCACGCAGGAACACAAGTCACGCAGGAACACAAGTCACGCAGGAACACAAGTAACGCAGGAACACAAGTAACGCAGGAACACAAGTAACGCAGGAACACAAGTAACGCAGGAACACAAGTAACGCAGGAACACAAGTAACGCAGGAACACAAGTAACGCAGGAACACAAGTAACGCAGGAACACAAGTAACGCAGGAACACAAGTAACGCAGGAACACAAGTAACGCAGGAACACAAGTAACGCAGGAACACAAGTAACGCAGGAATAGTATACGAGACTAAACCATCTAACCTAATTTTTAATGAATATGTTCCCATCACTGAGTGCCAGGCCACACTGGGAAGTACACACTCACGTACACACACACACACACACTCACACACAGGCTATAGGCCCAGATGGAATCTCCCCTTGGGTTCTAAAGGAAGGAGCAAGAGAACTGAGCCTACCACTCTCCATAGTGTATAACAAATCACTGGCAACAGGGGAACTGCCAGATATTTGGAAAGCAGCTAACGTAGTCCCGATATACAAGAAAGGGGATAGACAGGAGGCACTGAACTACAGGCCAGTGTCCCTAACCTGCATACCATGCAAGCTGATGGAGAAGATTGTGCGAAAAAAACTAGTGGAGCATCTGGAGCGAAGGAACTTTGTAACACAGCATCAACATGGGTTCAGGGATGGCAGGTCCTGCCTCACAGGGTTACTTGAATTCTACGACCAGGCAACAAAAATAAGGCAAGAAAGAGAAGGGTGGGCAGACTGCATATTTTTGGATTGTCAGAAAGCCTTTGATACAGTGCCACACAAGAGGCTAGTGCGAAAGTTGGAGATGCAGGCTGGAGTGAGAGGGAAGGTACTCCGGTGGATAGAGGAGTACCTAAGCAACAGGAGACAACGAGTCTGTGTGAGGGGTGAGGTCTCAGATTGGCGAGACGTCACAAGTGGAGTCCCGCAGGGGTCAGTCCTTGGACCTATACTGTTTCTGGTATATGTAAATGATCTCCCAGAGGGTATAGATTCGTTCCTCTCAATGTTTGCCGACGATGCAAAAATTATGAGGAGGATTGAAACAGAGGATGATAGTAGGAGGCTACAAGATGACCTGGATAGACTGAGTGAATGGTCCAACAAATGGCTGTTGAAGTTCAACCCGAGTAAATGCAAAGTAATGAAACTAGGCAGTGGAAACAGGAGGCCAGGCACAGGATACAGAATAGGAGATGAAGTACTTAATGAAACAGACAGAGAGAAAGATCTAGGAGTTGATATCACACCAAACCTGTCTCCTGAAGCCCACATAAAGAGAATAACGTCTGCGGCATATGCGAGGCTGGCTAACATCAGAACGGCGTTCAGGAACCTGTGTAAGGAATCATTCAGAATCTTGTACACCACATATGTAAGACCAATCCTGGAGTATGCGGCCCCAGCATGGAGCCCGTACCTTGTCAAGCACAAGACGAAGCTGGAAAAAGTCCAAAGGTATGCTACTAGACTAGTCCCAGAACTAAGAGGCATGAGTTATGAGGAAAGGCTGCGGGAAATGCACCTTACGACACTGGAAGACAGAAGAGTAAGGGGGGACATGATCACAACCTACAAAATCCTCAGGGGAATCGACCGGGTAAACAAGGATGAACTATTCAACACTGGTGGGACGCGAACAAGGGGACACAGGTGGAAGCTGAGTACCCAAATGAGCCACAGAGACGTTAGAAAGAACTTTTTCAGTGTCAGAGTAGTTAGTAAATGGAATGCATTAGGAAGTGATGTGGTGGAGGCTGACTCCATACACAGTTTCAAATGTAGATATGATAGAGCCCAATAGGCTCAGGAATCTGTACACCAGTTGATTGACGGTTGAGAGGCGGGACCAAAGAGCCAGAGCTCAACCCCCGCAAGCACAATTAGGTGAGCGCACACACACACACACACACTCACGTACACACACTCGTACACACACACACTCACACACACACACACACTCACACACTCACACACTCACACACTCACACACTCACACACTCACACTCACACACACACACACACACACACACAGACTCACACACACACACACACACACACACACACACTCACACACTCACACACACACACACACTCACACACACTCACACACACACACGTAATTCTGTGGCGCGGGTTCGATTCCCGCACGAGGCAGAAACAAATGGGCAAAGTTTCTTTCACCCTAAGTGCCCCTGTTACCTAGCAGTAAATAGGTACCTGGGAGTTAGTCAGCTGTCACGGGCTGCTTCCTGGGGTGTGTGTGTGGTGTGGAAAAAAAAAATAGTTTGTATACAGTTGATTGACAGTTGAGAGGCGGGCCGAAAGAGCAAAGCTCAACCCCCGCAAAAACAACTAGTAAACACACACACACACACACTTAGACCCGAGTGGTTACTGAACCTCGTAGGTCCAAGTCACACTGGGGAGTAACTCGAATGAATGGCGAGCTAGCTAGTTAGGCATTTGTCTAATGCTACTGTTCAATATGTAAAATAAAATTCGTTTACAGACGATGTCCAGACTGTTAAAACTCTCACACACTGGGGTTGTAATTAAAATATAAAGAATGTTATAACAAGACATTAGTGTACCGGGAGAGGGAGCCGGTCGGCCGAGCGGACAGCACGCTGGACTTGTGATCCTGTGGTCCTGGGTTCGATCCCAGGCGCCGGCGAGAAACAATGGGCAGAGTTTCTTTCACCCTATGCCCCTGTTACCTAGCAGTAAAATAGGTACCTGGGTGTTAGTCAGCTGTCACGGGCTGCTTCCTGGGGGTGGAGGCCTGGTCGAGGACCGGGCCGCGGGGACACTAAAAGCCCGAAATCATCTCAGGATAACCTCAGGATACCAATATATTTGGCAAGTTAAAAATTTCCTTACCACGTGTCACAGGTATTAAAAAGCGTGTTGGGAGTATTGTTCATTGCAGCCCTATACCTCCATATACTGTGGTATATTCACACTTACATGTCTATATTCACATTTAGGATGCCTATACTCTGCTTGTAGTATAGCCACTGGTGACCTATAACAACACTATACTCATTTATACTGAGCAGTGTAGTGAGCAGTGAACTGAGCAGTGTAGTGAGCAGGCTCTTGGTGACTGCTAAAATGACATTCTTGCTGTGTTTTGAAAGTGACGCTTTAAAAGTTCTTTTAAAGTAAACATTCAATAACGCAACACAAAGCTGTATTTTCTGTACCATACTTCTGGCTAATTGCAACACAGCGAGATCTGTTTGCGTGGAGCTCTGCCTGACACTAATACACTGTACAAATGTGTGTGTGTGTGTGTGTGTGTGTGTGTGTGTGTGTGTGTGTATGTGTGTGTATGTGTGTGTGTGTGTGTGTGTGTGTGTGTGTGTGTGTGTGTGTGTGTGTGTGTGTGTGTGTGTGTGTGTGTGTGTGTG